CTTCTAACCAATGGGTCAGCAGTTTGAATCTGCCAGGTGCTTTGTGGGAGAAAGGTATGGCATTGTGCATGTGTAATGATTACAGCCTCTGAAACCCCCTGGGACAGTTCTACTCTGTCCTATAGGATTGCTGTGAATTGGAATCAGTGAGATAGTAACAAGTTATCTGGAGGGATGGGACAGGGGAGTGTTGGCCACAGAGAAGATCTAGGAACCAGCACAGTGGGGAGCAAAGAGAGCCCATGTCCTCTCCAGCAGCATTTTTGGTGTTACTACAGAATGTGAGCAAAAAGCAAGATGGGTGTCAATCTATAAGACTATGAACAACAGCTCCGAAGCACGGAGTGTTGATATAAACCTTGACCTCACATCAGCTGATATGGGACCAGAAGGCCTTGAGCAAGTGGGAGAAAGAGATCAGTCGGTGGGGTGACCAGCTGGAGACACATAATGGTGCAGATTAATCTAGGAGAAACCCTTGCTCCTGAGATCCACGATGTAATGTAGCCCCATCCCTAATTGAGTGGGGTGAGGGGTGGGGAAACTGTCTAACTAAAATATCTTAGACTTGGAGTCAGAAAACATTGATCAAATCCAATGCTAACAACTTGGCAAGCATGCCACTTACCAGCATTCAACAATGTTCCTTCAAGAGATTTCCATGGGGTTAAATTAAGTAATAACTTTTATACTTTCAAGTAAAACACTGTTTTATTCATTCATTCCAAAAGAAAGCTGTTAATTGAGTAACTCAGCAGTCCAGGACGGGCTTCCCTCAGCTTCAGACAAGGTTTCCTTCCATCCTCTCCCATCCTGCTTGCCCTCTTCCCGAACAAAATCTGCTCTCAGTCAAGGGCTTCCTGCCTGCCTTGCTTTAGTTCTGTTATGGTTTTCTGAACCCATTCCAGGATGGAGGATTCTTTCACATACACTCCTTACTCAGCCACTGTACAGGTCTTATCAGAGGTCAGGATCCTGACCAAATACCAAGTGTCCTCATCCTAGATGCCAAAGGGACCAGCAGCATTGCCCCAGCAGGTGTCTTGCTGACACTTGGACATGCCGGCACAGAGGTTGTGTTCATTCAATATGAGCTGGACCCCAAGGGGCTCTTTCATCACTTCTCTTTAGGTTGGGCTGCCTTCGTAGCGCTGTACACACTTACCTTGGGCAGCCACGGTAGCATGACATACTTCAGTTGCTCAGTAATATCATTCTGTCTTGCATCCAGTTAGTTGTTAATACATCTAGATACCCTCAAGTTGTAGACTGACTTTGTCATGCGGCTATCTGTTTCTTCCCCCTCAGCAGCAAGTGTAGCACAAAGCTCTCCAAGTATACTCTATGGAATTGTGTATTGATTTCTAGTGCTTCCATGTTTATAAATCTTATCTCTTTATTTGAAGTCTAAGTACTTTAAAGGTAAGAACACCCTCCTCATACTGGGCAAAGACATTCTAGAACTCAGGGAGAATTTTGTACCTGATTAGAAAAGGTGTTCATCCCATTCTAAGAACAATTAGTTCTTATGACATGTCCCTGCTTGATGCTCAACCTCACATGAAGCGCTCACTGAAGATATGGGTGCTATAGCCAAATGTGGTAAAGAAACTAGTTGATGCCAGCTATCTGAAAGATTATCGTCTAGGGTCTTAAAGGCTTGTTTTAAAACAAGCAGCCACCCAAGGAAAGCATCAACTAAGTCCACATGGAAGAAGCACACCAGCCTGTGTGATCCAAGGATTGTAAATAATATAATCCAAATAAAAAAGAGGGAATGGTATCGGAGCTTAAAATGTGAACATCTGGTTTGCAGAAGGCTCTGGATGATAGTGGAAGCCCAAAATTAATTTTCAGGTTCTGCATATTAATTAAGTCTCAGGTGAATCCCCTCCAATCATAGTTGAAGGATGTGAAAAGCCCTGTTATCAGACAGAGAGCATTGTAAAATCGATTACTGGATTATGGCAGATATATTTAGGTCAAAATGTAATTATAATTTGATCTCCATTTTGACCCATTTTAAAGCTTTTTCAGTTTCTTTTAAAAGTAAAGGGGAAATGTATGTAGATTAAGCCCCAGGTGAATCCCCTCTGACCAGGGACCAGGAATGTGACCAGCCTTGCTGCATGCAGACCACATTG